ATATATATATATATATATATTTAAAAAACCTGCATTGTCAGAGTGCAGTGAGTGAGAGAGAAACCTTTAACTGCACAATAGTACAACAATTCAAAAAACTAGACACCAATAAATATATATATACACATACACACACTAAAAGTCTCCATCAAACAGAATCCATTTGGAATTAATAAGAAGGAGAGAGAGAGAAAAGGTAAATCTAAAGAGTACAGTCAATGGATGCTCTAAGAAGAGCGCTGCAAAACTGTTCCATCCTGACCATATACACTCTGCTCCATAATTAGTGTATATGAAGAGATCACTAATTGTTCTGCGATCAGTCAAAAGTCGCTCTGCACATGTTCAAGGGTACCTTTATTCTGTGTTTTCTCATTCCCATTTCATTGAAAAAGAAGCATGGTCAAAGGTCTAAATGGCCTACATGGGTTAAATTGCTTTTCTTGTACTTTGTATTTTTACAGTGCCATCCTAAGGGTGCACGTGTGTGAAAATGTCCAGGGAGCCAACTAGCTGCTATGTCGACATGTCTCCAAGATATGACAGTGCAAGTGGAAGTTGCGCCATTGCAGCGCACTGAGGCCACCACACTGGTTCCACCCACCGGCGCAGCCTTGCCATGCCTGCCTGTTGACAGCCCGGTGGCGTAGGACCCTGCGCTGTAGTGGAAGTGGGCAGGCCAGGAGGTGTGAAGGAAGCTGGTTGCCCCCCTAAGCCACTCCAGCCTGGGAACATCCCCCCCCCCCAAACAGGGATGGAAAGGTAGGCTGTCAAAAAAAGGTGGCGTAGCCCATAGGTGCCCATGCAAAGCCAAAATTCAACCGTCCCTCTACTGGAGTGGCCCCGCCAGGGTTGCCAGCCTCCAGGTGGGGCCTGGGGATCTCCCACTTTTACAGCTGATCTCCAGGCAACAGAGATCAGCTCCCCTGGAGCAAATGGCTGCTTTGGAGGGTGGACTCTGTGGCCTTGTACCATGCTGAGGCCCCTCCCCTCCTCAAACCCCACCCTCTCCTGGCTCCACCCCTGAAGACTCCAGGCATTTTTCAACCTGGACTTGGCAACCCTAGGCCCCGTCCACAAGTAGGGTTACCAGCACTGGTTGGGGAAACACCAGAAGATTTTGGGGGTGGAGCCTAGAGAGTAGGGTTGCCAAGTCCGTTTCTCCTCGCGGCAGGGGGCTCCCAGACGTTTTCCCCTCAGATGGCTGTGGCATAGACATAGAGTTTTCCCCTCAGATGGCTGTGGCTCTGCCCCCAGCGTTCCCGGCGTCATCACGTCACATCCAGCTGACGTGCACGCCGGGGTGGGGTTCCCCCTGGGGCCCGATTCTGCGGCGGCGGAAATCGGGCCTCCAAAGCGGGTGATTATCCGCCCCCCGGGGGGACTTGGCAGCCCTACTAGAGAGGGCATTTAGGGAGGGGGGGACCTCAGCAAGGCATAATGCCATAGAACCCACCCTCCAAAGCCGCCATTTTCTCCAGGGGGTCTCTGTCACCTGGAGATCACTTGTAATAGCGGGAGATGTCCAGGCCCCACCTGGAGGTTGGCAACCACAAGGCCTGGTGGTGCATGGGCTGCCGCTGACCTCATCCCCACCTGATCACTTCCCTTGCCAGTTTTATTATCGGTTCACCTCTTACACCCGACCCTTGACCCCACCTGACCTTTTCTCCTCCAACTTAAAGAACACATTTCGTTTATTTGGAGCTTTCAAAAGCCTCTCCTGTGCCGTTCGGAAAGCAGAATATAAGAAGGTGGTTTCTCTCTTCCCTCACAGACAAACAAATCAGAAGAAAAACAGAACGCAGGCAGGAGGGAACGATTCTGCGTGTGAGGAAGAAGGCGAGATCGTCTTACCTGCCACGGGAGGAGGGACAGCCGTCAGGATCCGCCCAGAGATGAGCCCATCGTGCGCACACGGTGACACTGCCCATAGTGGCGGGTGGCTGAAGGATCAAAGTTTTGTCTGGTGGGTGCGGGGAACCCCTGACCATGGTGGGATCCAGGAACTCTCCCCTTATCGCTGGCTCACACCTACTCTTCTCCCCTACAGGCAACTCACTCCGCGGGGAGGGCATCGCCAGGCTGACAGCTGCAGGGCCCGAGGGGGTGTCTGCCCAGCCGGTGCCTCGGGCATCCAGGAACCAGCCACAGCGCACGGGATGAGAAAGCCACTCTGGGGAGGCCCTCCACCAAGGCGTCCCCTGGCCATCCCAGCATGCCGTGCTGAGAAGGGTGAGAGGTCAGCAGTGGGGCAGTGGAGCCCAGTACCCAGCTGTGGAGCCAAGGGGCAAGAGAGGGGAGGCAGCTATGGGCACAGGACAGGGTCACGGGGCCACCTAGCCTTGCAGGGCCTGACGACTCAGCCACTGACCTTCTTCACCGCCCAGGCGCTCGCTGCTGATGTCATGGACCATTTTGGTGCCCGTGGTTAAGTGCGCGGACACTAATCTGGGAGAACTGGGTTTGATTCCCCACTCCTCCACTCGCAGCTGCTGGATGACCTTGGGCAAGCTGTAGCTCTGTCGGAGCTGTTCTCTCAAGGACAGTTTCTGCCAGAGCTCTCTCAGCCCCACCTACCTCACAGGGTGTCTGTTGTGGGGAGGGGAAGGGAAAGGAGTTTGTAAGTTTGACTCCCCACACCTCCACCTGCACCTGGCTGGGTGACCTTGGGCAAGCCATAGTTCTGATAAGAGCGGTCCTTGAAAAAGAGTCGTTTCTGTAAGAGCTCTCTCAGCCCCACCTACCTCACAGGGTGTCTGTTGTGGGGAGGGGGAGGGAAGCCGCTCTGAGACTCCTTTGGGTCGTGAAGGGCGGGGAATCAATCCAATCTCCTCCTCCTCCTCCTCCTCCTCCTCTTCTTCTTCCTTGCCCCGATCCCTTCAAGACGAGTCATGGTGGCTGGGACAGTGGTCCTCTGGGCACTGGGCGTCATGGGGTCCCTGGAGCGAGTGGCTGGGGGGCACTACAGCTGGTGGACTTCATACCCCCGGAAGGAGTGGGGTGGGGGTGGAGAGAGATGGGGAGAGTGCTGGCAGGGGAGGCAGGCAGCCGCTTCAGGTCCCAGGTGCTGTGGCCACTGCAGTCCCCAGGGAGGGGGGGAACACACAGAACCTTGCCAGAGCCCCGGGCCCAAGGCCTTCTGCCAGCACAGCCCACCCCCCCCCTCCACATGGCCGGAGTGTGAGTGGAGCGAAGCTTTCTTCCGGGGTCACCAGGACAGGGAGGGGCTGCTGGCATCTGTGGTGGTGGCCGCTGGGCCCCTGGAAGGGCTGCCGGCTGCCACGAGGGGTACCTGGGATGGACAGGCATCAAGAGACTAGGGGTGGGTGGGTCTCAATGCTCCCTCTAAGCTGAGGAGTCTCATGAGCAAAAATTCTACTTGGTGAGCAACTGGCATTAAAGGTGTGAGTGAGTGATTTGGCTGCTGCATAAATTAGTTTGGCTCCGGAGCCATCCTTCCTGAGCTAGGACAGAAATGTGTGAGCCGGAGGCTAAAAAACTGTGAGCTAGCTCACACTGACTCAGCTTAGAGGGAACACTGGTGTCAATGTGGCTGCAGGACCCTCCACCAAGGCCCACCCTAGCTCTGCTGCTAGTAGGGGTGGCCCTCGGCATAGGTGTAAGCTTCGGGGGTATTGAGGTGCTCAACCCCCCCCCCCATTTGGCCAGGGGGGGGCTGCTGAGCCTCCCCCGGGCAACCAGTGCCCAATATTGACAAACTCACATGAGGGACTCACAGATGGCAACTGAGGCACAGGATGGGGGGGGGGGCAGTGCAGATCAGATGTCTTTTAAAAAATTATTTTCACCAGAGAGAACACTGGCAACACTGGCTGCCTTTTCTCCTGGGTGGAAGTTTTAAAAATTTCTTCTCTGCAGTCAGAGACCAGGAAGGCAGCCCA